CTTCTCTGCCGCCCTCCCCTGTCCATCACTTCATAGCCTCCTCATTTCTCATCCTTGACCCAGGGTTCCAGAAAACTTACCACTCAATTCAACAATTTGGACCCCACCCAATCTCCCTTCATGTCTGGCTCAAAGATGTGGCTAACTCATCATGGGCACACTCTCCTGCCCAGCCTAAATATGGGCTGAAAATTTTTCTCAACCCAGTTATCCAAGCAGTTGCTAACAATTACTCAGGCCTGACAGTAGGATGAAATCTCTCGTTATCCATGAATTCTGATCCCGTCTCCTTCTGAGTATATTAGTTTCAATGATGCACTAAGCTACACAGTTGGCTTGTGGTAGACTTGGAACCCAGCTACCTTATTTTCTTGTTTGTGGTTCTTTACAGTGTTCAGTATAAACAAGTAAACCTACAATTCAAAGATAAATAGATTTGCTAGCTAAAACAAAAATATAATCTACATTAACACAAGTACAAAATAAAATATTTTATATATTATAATATAGATTTATGATATATTATTGTTGTTATAAAATTTATAATATAGTGTACATCACCTGTGTAATATGTAATAATAGCTACCATTTATTTTATAGACCATCTTATTTAATCTTTATAGTAGCTCTACATGATAGTTATTATCCTCTATATTTTATAGATAAGGAAATTGAAATGCAGAGAGTTTAAGTAACTTCCTTGAAGGTTGTTAAATAATAATGGGGAAGCTCAATTTGGTCCCAGGTAGAGTCACCTACTCTCAATATGCCTTATTTCCAGTACATAATAAAATCATTTTCAGGAGATATTTCTCCATGGGGCTTTTGCGTTTCTGCACATATGGTAAACAGAGCTGCTGACCACCTTTATTTCTAGACTTCTTAACAAGAACACCTATAGAGTGAATAGCCATGAAAGGCAGATATCTCACTCCTGAGAAGACAAATTTATTTGCTATCCAATATAATAAAGATATTATCTCCTCCTCAGGTAAAGTTTGGACAGGTTACAATTACAAATCATTACAGGAGATTGTAATTTCTGAAGCTCTGGTTTATTCAGATAGGACCAAATGTCTTGCATGCACATTACCCCATGGGACCCAGGCGACAAGGGGAATGCAAATGCCAAGCTCATGCTGTCTGCTATTCCAAGAGTGAAGTCCTTTGTCTCTCACTCAGGAATCACATATCTCTTGATAACTTACAAGTAAGGTAAAATCTCAGATGCTTCACAATTCTTAACAACTACAAGTTCAATGGAAAGATGAACTATCACAGGAGGTTGGGTTGCTCCTGGATGTCTACTCCACTGGGAATCCAAGTTGCTAGTTCATCCTACTTTCAACTAATGTTAGTCACCTTGAGTTCCACCCCTACAATGTGTGAATAAATACACCTGAAGTTTAGTCTGCAGTAATATTAACGCCGATTTTAATCTCATAGACAAAAATGGCATTTTCTAGAGTACTAGCAAGAAAGTCTTCTCTCTGGATGAGTGAAATCAAGGCTGTGCTATTTCTTCCCATCTGACTGGCCTTCCTCACCCCTTCAGAGATCAAAGATTAGCTATGTTCACCCAGGCCTCTTGGGCCAGCCTGATTCATCTTTCCTTTCCTCGTAATAAATTCTCAGCTCTTCTTCGACAATACAGACCTGTTCATGACTGCTCATTGTCTGAATGAGGATTTAAAAATTCTGATTTATCCTTTTATAGGTAACACAAGTCCTTAGATAAAAATCATATAAAAGGTGGAGAATTTTATTCACTAAAACTATTCCATGAGAAAGATTTGTAAGATAAGCTATTGGAGGAAATTAGACTACACCTCCCAAATATTCAGCCTTCATCCATGAAGTAGAAGCCAGAAATTTTATCACCTTCTCCAACAGGACGATAGTAATGAAGGAGAAGGAGAGTGAAGGCAACTGTGACTTTTATGGAAAGGAAAACAAGTAGATAAGAGCCTGGGGGAGATTTTCAGTGGTTTTCTTAGGTATGAAGTTAGAGAAGAGAGATTGAAGTCTAGAAAGTATTTCTGAGAGACTGTGCAACATATTTGGGTAAAATCCCTTTGAGAACATTAACAATGATCTATATTAAACTTCAAAGCTTCTAGAGTCCTTTTTGTGTTCTTGTTTAATGTGACTCTGCACAGAGACTGATCCCACAGGGCCCCCACTTGTATCTTGCTCTGAATTAAAGCAATTTGTGGACTTAAAGCAATTTGTGACTCCTTCCTATGAATGCCTTACCCTGAGTCATGGCTCTTGGGTTACTTTACTTTTTCTACACTTTTCCTCCAAATAGCAAGGAGAATGGGCATCAGAAAACTAGGACAAGGATTTCTTTTTTTACCATAATGGGGGAAAAATATAAGTACATAAAAGAAGAAAGTAAAATGAAGATAAGAAAAAGGGTATTTAAAACAATTTTATAAGGTAAATATGTTAGTCTCACTTCACATATGAACTGAAGCAAAGTTTAGGAATCTTATTCAAGTGTGTAAAAGTAGAGTAGCTACTATAACACCTCAACATTTCTGCTGCCCAGGCCATGAAAATTTCATGTGATATTCCAAGGTAGTTTGGCCATGGTTCCGGACGCAAGCAGTCATTGGCTGGAATTCAATCATGTGACCACCTTCATGCAAGGAAGAATGGGAAATTCAGTCTGACTCTGTCCAGGAAAAAGGCAGGATAACAACTAAGCAACCCTAACAGGCTCTGCCATCAAAGTAAACTAATTACTAAGGAGCAGGGATAGCCCTCAGGTCTAGGTCTATGACTATAACACTAGTGCCCTCAACTAAAATGCCCTATCATTTCCTCTTCTAAGGCACTGTTACTATTTTTTTTATTGGGACATTTTTGTATGAAAAGCTCAATCTCTTCTCTCCTTACACGTCTTTAGTGCCATTTGTGCAGACTTCCCCCTACATGCATATTTAAAAACTAAACTTCAGAGCTTTTTATTCACAGAATGAACCTTATTTGAATTTTACTTCCCATCCACCTTCTTATAATATTTATCAATGATTAAAGGGAAAATAGGATAAAAATAAAATTTACACCCTTCTTATCTGCCTATAATAGAAAAGTGGTGGGGATCAGGGTGGGGTTGAGAGGAAGTCTCAGCTAGAACAAATCTCATCCTTGGAAGAAGATAGGAGTCAGAGAAGAAAGAGGAAAACTAAGAAGATGGTCTTCAGAAGCTTTTTGAGAAACATACACCAAAAGATTTTCCTTGAAATGCTGTGTGATGCACAAATACTTCACATCAAGCATTATACTAAAGAAGTTCCCATCTTTATATTCAAATACTTCTTTTTCTACATCTGAAAGCCACATGTGATTTTCAATCAGCCAGCACAAACAGACTGACAGACAACATCCCTCAGGAAATACTTGATATGCCATGAGGTTTCAACACTTCCCCCTCCACCCCCACTCTGGAGCAAGCCTGTAATTATGCGTTTGTATAAATACATATGTGTGGCATATTTGTTCACATTCTGCCGGGCAGAGCAAACAGTTCTGCGTTCTTTCTTGGTTATCAACTCATGAAGTGACTACATGTACCCTGCATGGCATTCTTACCCACAGTGAACAGCCCAAGGTGTTCACAAAATACCAGAGAGGCTAGAACCTACCTTGCAAGGACCACAAACCATGAACCTTTCCTGGCCACCTGTCCCCACTCTCCAGGTGAGTTGGGGTATTTCCTTCCCCATGCTCCCTGCACAGTGCTCCTATGGTTATGAATACAGAGTTTTAGCTGCTCATCACATTATAAATGCCTGTTTGCATCTGTTCTGCAGTCTACAGGCAATTCATCCACTTTAGAAGCTAGCACAATCTGTCTAATATAGACCATATAATAATTCTGCAAAATTTTCTTGATAAATGAATGAATGAATGAAAATGAACAGAACCTTGAACAGCAGCTTGCCTTAACAATTCAAGGGTCCAAAATTTTTCATATTGTGACCATTCAGTTTTCTCTACTTTAAACTTTGAGCATTTGATAAACTTATGTAATTACCGAAATGCTTTTTTTTGCTTTAGTCATGATTCAAAATGTAAATGTAACTTTTTAATTTGAGAGCTGACTTTTCTGAGTGCACATGATATTCCTTCCACATAATCAATATTCCTCTCTCAGGCCTCCCCTGTGGCGCAGCAGTTGAGCTCTGGGCTGTGAAGCTGCCCACAGCCTCTGCAGTGCCGGTTCGATCCCTGGTCACCGGCAAGGGTCCCACATGGCGAAACAGACCTCTCCTGCTGCCTGCTGCTCCCTTCAGCAATGTACTTTGTCAGTCTGCCTGTTCTGATCCCCGCTCTGGCTCTAGTGAATTCTCTCACCCTCCCACGCTTCTGACTGTACCCAGTGCTTGTATAAATAAATAAATATTAAAAAAAAAAATTCCTCTCTCCTGTGTATATTGAATTTGTCTGATCTTGGCAAGAACCCTACAAAGTTGGTGCTATTAGTTCCCCCATTTTACAGATGAGAAAACTGACACAAGGAGAATTAGTATGTGAAATGTCAGAGCCAAGACCTACTCAGGAAAACTACCTCCACTTGAGTTCTTAACCATTATGCTAAACTCATTTACTTAACAGAAATGTATGGATATCTAATGATGTGCTCAATTAAAATACATTAATTTCAAATAGTGTTAACTGTTCTAAAGAAATGGTCTGATAGGGTAAGAGAGAGGAGCATTAGCTGGCAGGGGCAAGGGAATATCTCTCTGAGAAGTAACTTTTGAGTTGAGACTTGTTTAATGAGATGGATCCAGCCAGGCAAAACTGAAAGAATAATATGTTCCCAGATGAAGATACTGCAGAGTGAGAAGGTCATGAAACAGGGAGAACTTCAGAATTTGAGAGACACGCCAGTGAGGCTGGAGTATAGTAAAAGGGCAGGGAAGTGCTAGATGAAGTCAGAGGGTGTGGCAGAAGATCCTTATTATTAGGTCATAGTGCAATGCAAAGCCACTGGGAGGTTTTGAATCCTTCTGGTTATTTTATGTGGAATGAAGTGGGCTGGAGAGCTTAGAATGGAAGAAGAAGAGACTAGTGGGATGACTATTGCAACAGTTCAGATAAATTCAGGTAGGACAAGATGGTGAGTCAGACTAAGATAGCAATGATGGAGGAAGCATAGGTGATACTTAGATGTGGTGGAGAACACCTGACAAGGTATTTTTGTGACAATGTGCACATCAGACTTCCTAAGTGGAAACAGTCCTAAGGAAAGGGCTATGTAGGGAAATCAGCTTTTACCTTAGTCCACATTGAACCTTTTGACCAGACATCAGGGACCCAGCTGATGGGAATAACCCTTTCTTGATCAACAGGCATCTTCAATGCAATGTTCTGACTTGGATTTCTGCCGTATGGAGTCTCTTCAATGAGAGATCATCATTCAAAATTCATTACAGTGATGTCCAGGAGCTGTCAGGGCTGTTTACCTCCCCTGCCATCAGGGAATCTGTGTATTCACATAACAATGAAGGGCATTCACTCATGCAGAGTGGATGGGAATTTGATAGGTAGATATGTCCCCAAGCAGAGAGAACAGGTGGAGCCGAAGCTAAGGTCAGGAAATATAGGAAAAATTCAGAGTGAGTGAAGAAAGAGATACTGCTGGAAAGAGCAAATTGGAGTGCATTTATGGAAAATCCTGAATCTTTAAGTAATTTATTCCAATGATTGAATAATGAACCAGCCTTGGGCTTTAGAAAAGGGAGAAAGAGAATCATGAAGTCTTAGCAATGAAAAAACTAAGCAACTACCAATTCCACTTACCTAATATTTTGCACTCTCATATCTCCATTATAAATAGTCACAGAGTTTTTGGCACTACCTATGGGGAAGCCTACAAGTGTCATTATATTAGCACTCATGATGCATGGGAGTCTTTTGCTTTGGATAAATCAGCAGATGTTTTGAATGTTTATTTGTGACATTTTCTCTCCAGAAACTAGAGATAACAAATCAGTCACTGATCTCAAGTAATTCATAGCAGGGATCTCAAACTTGACCAGGTAAAAACATAAAACCAAATGTAAATCTTTTTCATACAAGCTAGATTCTCTGTCGACCACCTCCACAAGTTTTTTTTTTTAATTTATTTTTAAAGATTTATTTATTTATACAAGCACTGGGTACAGTCAGAAGCGAGGGAGGGTGAGAGAATTCACCAGAGTCAGAGCTGAGAGCAGAGCAGAGCAGGCCGACTGAGGAAGTACACTGCTGAGGGAAGCAGCGGGCGGCAGGAGAGGTCTGCGCGCCATGTGGGACCCTCAGCCAGTGGCCCGGGATCGAACCCGTGCTGCAGAGGTTGCAGGCAGCTTGGCAATCCAGTGCTCAACCACTGCGCCACAGGGGAGGCCCTCCACAAGTTTTTATGCGGGAATTGTCCTCTGACCAAATCTGCAGGGTCTTCTTGAGCACCTCATAGCACAGAACAGCAGATAAACCCAGTTTAAACTCTGTGAAGTTAACTTGTCCAGAAAACAAACAACCTTATATATTGAAACATTCAAAAGTTATTTGTCTGAGTTTTCTGAATATTGAATAACTTTTAGCAAATGTTTTGATTAAACTTGTGGTTTAGTTACTTAGCAGGGAATAAAATAACAATCAAAACAAAGTAAAAGTTTATTTTTCTAATTTAAGAATTTGAGCTGGCAGGCAATCCATGAGATTATTTAATACCTGAACACTTCTGTCCTGCTGCTTTGCTATTCTCTATAGTTGCCCTTATCCATACAGTCATGGATGACCTAGCACTACCCTGTCCATAGTCTAGCTAGTGGCAACAAGGAAAAAATGGAAATTCAAAAAGAGCATTCATCACTTCTGTTCACAATTGACCAAAAATTGACCACATGACAATACCTGGCACCAAGGGAGGCTGAGAAACCCTAATATTCTGGGATGATAGTATTTAAAGAGGAAAAGGAAGAATAGATATTGAAGGATAATAGTAACCTTTGCACAATTAGACTTTGTTATGTGATTCTAGAATGTTCTACGATTATTTTGACCATGCTCCAGGTAACATACTAAGAACTATTCTCAAACTTGGCTCTGAAATTTTACACTATATGTGCATTATCATCTGAATTTTTGAATATGAAGACTTTAAGCTCCAATTCTATTAAATCTAGGCAGTTGTATTATTGAAGGACACCACAGGTGATTCTCATGAGAATCACAATTTGGAACCAGCAGCCATTAATCTAGGCTGCCTTGAAATTGGGCGTGGTTAATAAGTTTTGTATACAAATTTAATCTTGAGTTTAAATCAACTTTATTAACAGGAAATGGTGAGCTGAATTGAAGGACTTAAGGTTTCTTATCACTCATGGGACTATATCACTCAATCTATCTCACCTCTGCTCTAGAATTCCCTGAGAACAAAGAGATTACTATACCTTGAAAATTTGACTCCTTTACCTCATGATACTATATAAACAAGTAAATAATAAACTATCATTTCATATGGTTTTACAAATGCTATGATGGGTATTATTTTTTTTTTAATAGAAGCATGTTTTTATTTATTTGTTTGTTTTGTTTATACATGCACTGGGTACAGTCAGAAGCTCGAGAGGGTGAGAGAATTCACCAGGGCCAGAGTGGGGAGCAGAGCAGGCAGAAGGACCGAAGTACACTGCTGAGGGGAGCAGCGGGCGGCAGGAGAGGTCTGCGCGCCATGTGGGACCCTCCTCTGGTGGCCGGGGAGCAGCCGGGGATCGAACTGGCGCCGCAGAGGCCGCAGGCAGCTTCGCAACCCAGCGCTCAACCGCTGCGCCACCGGGGAGGCCCTATGATGGGTATTATTTCATTTGGTCTTCCCTGTAAGCAAACTTTTCAGGTGAGGTAGTTGAGAAATCAAATTGCCTTGATCACGGGACCCAAAGCCAGGTATTAGTCCTCTCAAGCTTAGTTTCCTTTTCCCTATGTTGCAGTGCATCTCTTTGTTTCTCAAATTTGGGATCAAAATAGAAACAGCTCAAAATAGGGCAGAAATGGGAGTAGACAAACGCATTATAAAAAGCATGAGGTAACAATATAAATGAACCTCAAAAACATTATGCCAAGCGAAAGAAGTCAGACACAAAAGACTTCATAGTGTATGATTCCATTTATAAGAAATGTCCAGAAAAGGCAAATCTATGGAGACAGAAATAGATTAATGGTTGCCTAGGGCTGAAGACAGGAACAGAGATTAACTGAAAATGGCATGAGGGATCTTACTGGGGAGATGAATATGTTCAAAACTAAATTATGGAAATGGCTGCACAATTAAGTACATTTATAAGTAGTCACTAAATTGTACACCGAAAATGCATAGATTTTTGTGGCATGTAAATTGTAACAACTTGTTTTTAAGAAACACAAAATGTTAATATTACAAATATAGATTGAATACTCGGCTCTGCTACTTACAACTTGGATCAGGTTGCGAAGGTAATAAAGCATTCCTAAGATCCTGGATTCTTATCTCTAAAATGGTAATAAAAATAGTATCTATGTCACACAAAGTCTAAATACAGCGAACGAGCCAAAAAAAAATGTGGGACTTTGTCAACATTAGAGTTAGAAGTTTAAAAATCTCAAACAAAGCAAGTTATAATTATTAACTAATTTTGTCCAGGGAAATTTGTCAGTAAAAGATAATCAAATTACACTTAAAAATGTTATTAACCATATATGAGGGTCCTCGATGCAATTATGACTTCAAGTTTAGTGCTCTACCCTTTTATCTATAGTATATCTATTAATTCATATATATGAATGTATACATTATCTGTGTAGATATAGCTTCCATATTTGTTCCATATTAGATACGCATATAAATACAAGCATTTCATTTTATTCAAAATATTATCCATCTGTGTGCACATGTATGTTTATCCCAGAGACCGTGAGTTTGAATGGGACTTTCAAGCAGGAAATGAAATGTATGATGTTACTTGAGACCTTCCGATACTTAAATTCTGCAAAATAAGGTAAGTTTGGAGTCCATCAGTCTACTGTACCCTCAAATACAAGAGTACCACGAAGCACTCCCTTTCACTTTATACCCAAAATCTAGAAACCACTCCCCTGTGAAAATATACATTTGAAGAATTAACTTCTGTTTGGCCTTAAGAGCAAGACATCACTCTGAAGTATCAGCACATGTGGTCGGCAGGTCGCACCCTGAGTTCAGCTCAGACCATTATTGCAGTAACAAAACCAGATGACAGCTCTGATTACTAAACACTATTTCCATTAGCCCAACGCAAATATGTCCAATGCAATTCTCCTCCTGGAATAGTTTTCTGACAAAGGAGGACTTAAATTATTTTAATGTGTTTATTTTATCATCTTCTTCCTTCCTTATGATTCTTGAACATTTAGCTTCAATACAAAATGTTCTTCTGTCACAAACCTTTTAATGTCAACTTGTCAAAAACTAATTACATTTTCTTTTAGGTAGAAATCACATGATAGCTGATTTTTTTTTAATCATTATTTAAGTCAGCATCATTTTTCTACCCAGCCTCCCACGAAATCTGCTATGCGCAGGGCTCTAATGAGACAGGGTTAAAATTCTCTCCTGCACTGCTGAGGTTTGCTGTGCTAGTCACTGCACCCATAGTGGATTGGCACACCAGTTTCCTGGTGTAATTTAATAATGTTAAGTAACACTCCTAAGACTGTGTCGGGAAAAAAACTATGTGGAAAATGTCACCTTTGGAAATACAAAAAAGAAAACAATTGTAGTTATGACATACAATTTGCATCAACATCTTTTGAGATAATCAAAGGCGGATAACAGAATACACTAGCCAAAAATGGGTCCACAAGGAAGAAAAATGAAGAGCTTTTGTATTTCCATGGCTCCATCTTTCCTTGGCACATCCATGCCAGACTTTTTCTGAGTCCACCGAATAAGCATTTGTCATAAGCTTTACTGTACCATGAAGTTATGATTAATATTACAGCTCAAGTACAGCGGGTTGAAAGACCACATTCATTTTCAAAGTCACGTCGCATTGATTAGAATTCACTGCAGGTTATTCAAATAACGATCCTCTCTTTCCCCAGGAGAATCTCTGTCTGATTTTTCTTTATCCTCATTAAAGATCCCAGGTGCAGACAAAGCTTTACGTACTTCTAATTTGCATTATCCTTGGGAAAGAGTTAATTCACATGCCTTCAGTATATAGCACTTGTTTTTGTAGTTTGCTCTTTCCTATCATTTATTTAAATAAATCAAGAAATTTAGCCTTTATAAACCTTCAGACAATAGGGAATGCCAAATTTTATTATCCTTAGTAATGAGCCCATGGATCTCAAACCCTGCATGATAATTCAGATAAAGTAAGGTATTTTTGTTCAGTTCTTGTCTGTACTTGACTAAAAGACAGTGATTGTTGTTTTTCTTTCTTGGAAAAAAAAAAAGAGTTTTGTTCAGGAGTAAAGAATAGCACAGAGGATTGTTCTTTGGTTGGTTTTGTTTTGTTTTGTTTTGTTTTTGTTTTTCTTTACCAGAACTGAAAAGCAAAGTTTTGTCAAACAGCAAGTGTAGTACTTGAAAATCCCTGTCAGAACTTGATATGTTATTTGGCTAATTAGATAAATTTCTATGTAAGGATTGATCAATTATTGCCTCTGTTGAGATAATTTATTAGCTACTCTTCCTAATTTAGCATTCTCATAGAATCACATATGGATTTCATTGGCATAAGGTGTGGGCCTCAAAATTATGACAAAGATTTCTGCACTGGACTATTTTTACCTTTAGATTTTGTGTCATGAGTTTTAGCCTGAAGCAGACTGACAGCATTGTTGACATTTCATTGAGTTGCCATTTCTCAAGAGAGGAGAAATTTTAGCTAATTAAATAGTGTTACAGTGTCTCAGAAACTACAAAGATAACACAAAACTACACAACAGTCACATATTTGTTAAGACCCCCTGTATTTTGAGATCTTTGGAAAACTGAAGTCTGTGTAACAAAACTTTTAAAGTGATTCAGAGACTCAAAATGATGAAACTGACATAGTTGGAAAGGTAGAAGAGCAACAATAGGAAAACAATTTTCATAAATATGATCATTATTCAGTATGTGCGTTAGGAGTGGATAAGATTACTTCCCTGGGTGGGAGAACCACTTAATGGTCCTACAACATGGGTGTGTGTGGGTGTGTGTGTGTTTCACATTAAGAGGTTATTTATAGGATGAAATGATAACTTCTAAACCAGTGAATCAAGATTAGCCATATATCGAGGTATTAATGAAAGCTGATCTGTAAGCTCCTCACTCATTTTTCAGGGACAACATGGTTTTCCGTGATGTGTGAATCTGCTCATGGTAAATCGTTTCCTATATAACGAATATAAAAAAAATAAACATTTTATTGGCATTTGTATTCATTTGTTTCTGCTACAAGGATATGTAGTTAGGCTCTGAATCTCACTGACTGAGTAAATGAAATGGTGAGCATACCTGGAAAAAACCAAACTCATTCAATTAAATAAAGGACATAGAGTAAAATTTTGATGAAAAACAACTGAAGATTCTATTCAGGTGTGTCTTTTGGTTGGACTAGACAAAGCGACGCTGTAGATTCAATAGTAATATAAGTAAATGGAAAAACCGAAAAATAAGACAATATCATTACCATGTCTACTTAGAGAAATATGCTAAATCATTCTAAGATGACACCATAGCTGTTGACATTCTGAAGCTATGTTGAAAATGTGATGTGTGAACCTAGTCTGGAATAAATAAAATTTTAAAAAGGGCACTTCATAATGACATAGACACCTACTGTATGCATGTATGTATGTGTGGTATTTGCATATGCACACACATGCACATTGGAAGAGAGCGTGTGTGCCTTCAATCTGAATATCTTAGAGAAGGCATAGAGAACCCATTGAGATTTATTTCCCCTTTAAGCCTCAGGGAACCTTTGAGATTTCATTGACATTAATTAAGCCCACCCCAGGATCATGGGCTTGGTGGGCTTGGTGAACTTTTGTTTTAAAAAGCAAGCTTGCTTGCCAGAGGAGTTTTTTTCCAAGCTCTCATTTTATTGTGGTTTCCAGCAGGGGATCTTGTTTCAAGGGATATGATCAAAGTAAAGGACATTTCTTCTGGGACATATTTTACATAGATTAAATCTCATTATGCAGCTTACTCTTTAGTCTATATTCTTTTTATAAGCTCCTATTGTATGAATGAATTTAACATAGAAAAGTGTGTGAATTTATTAAATCACATATACTAAGCTTCAATGAAGGTAAGGTCCAGTAGAGTCAAACACTTTCAGTTTTTTCTTATCAACAGTGAATTTCAGTGCACAGAAATTAAGAGTAATCTTAAATGAGGTTGCTAGATACATAACCAAGTACTAAAGATTTTCATAGCCTTTGCATAATTTCATTTTTGGATATTAAGTGATTCCTCTAAGAATATGTTGCTATCTTTTACTTTTCCTTCCCTGTTTTTAAACTATGTTCCCACCTTTTTCACGTCATAAACAGGTTATTTTGGTTATACTAAGAGGTATGCCACACTAATGACCATTGAAAGTTACATTTTCTCACTGAACATAAGAACTTGGAAATTTGAAAATGTCCAGTAAATCTCAGATAGGAGAATAGACATTGATTTAATCATGGTTTTCTATTCTAAGCTAGCACCAAAATTTACAATTCTAAAGACTGATTATCTAATAGCAAATTCCTTTGTTCCTATACTCATTGCTTCGTTTACCACCATCAGAATCTAAGACAATAATATTGAGTACCAATTCTACTTTCTCAGAACTTCAAGATAGGTGTGTGGGGGAGTCATAAGAGGCAATGTGAGATACAATAGCCCCTTCCCACAACCTTGATAGACCAAATGAAGATTTAACTTTTCAATTCCTTTCTGTGAAAACTGTGTTTCTATAGTGAAGAATATAAGTTTAAAAACAAAGCATATAAGTGAAAAGGATGCTACGTTTTCAATAATTTTGTTGTTAATTGATTCCCAAAGAAAATTACTTATTTTAAGATCTAATCTCACGTTTGTTCTTCTGTGATTTCATCAGCCTTGCCGTTAAAAATGCAAGGGTAAGCTGAGGAATTGATTTTTTTTTTTATGCTGGACCAAAGGATATGATGACATACAGTCAAGTTTCAGGTTAAATTGTCCTGTTTATTCTAGTAATTTTCTTCACCATTTGGTCTCTAAAGGTACAATTTCCTTCAGTTGAGTGAAAAGTCCTTTCCCATTTTAGTTCTCTACCGTGCATTTAATAAAGAACTAATTTACAGCACTGTTTGCAGTTGTTTTGTGATATCTGAGGGTGTCCACTTGCATGGACACCCTATATACCTCTATATGTTGGGTGCTTTACTTTGATGCCTGAGAGTCATCTTAAGAAATTAAGATGGTGGTCAATTAAATGGTTAATCGGAACATAAACATTTTTCCCTGATCAATGAAAGTCAAATTCCCTGTGTAGGTGGTTAACTCATCGTTAGAACTTGAAACATCATTAAACTAGGGGTTCTTTATTAAACTAGAGGTGAGACTTGGGGGCAGGTTAAGCCATAACAAAGACAATTAATTCACAGCAAGCTTTGCACAAAATGCAGTTTTCCTTTTCTTATCATACTATGTAAAACATATTTCCTATTGCTTTTGAAAATTAAATTATTTATAGAAATATTCAAAAAGTATTTTTAATGCAATATGTCTGCATGAACACATTCTCTGTTCTTTGTGAATTTCTGACACTAAGTGTTACATTGAGTCTGTCCTGTTCTTCGTAACTTAATGTCTTTACCGTGACTTCAGGAATCTTCAACACACTCCTTAGTTCACCTCTGAATAAATATTTCTCCAGGCAACTTCTGCATAGCTTAATAATATATTCACCATCTATCTTAAACAGTAATTTTTAAAATCTATACTATTTATTGTATTTTAATTCTCTATGCCTAAAGTAATTTCTACTGAATTTCCAATATGTATTTAGATTTGATAGCTGTTATAATAAAATTAATATAATTATCAAATGTGCCAAAATATATAGAAGAAAATGCATGTTTTAAGTGTGCTCCTTATCTATTTCATTATGAAATGATCTTTTTTTAATTCCATTCTATTTTCATGTAACTATTTTCCCTTCCCTAGGTAGTTACATTGCAACTATTTCAAAGTTTATATCTTATTTCCTTGTGCATTAATCAAGGGAATGGTGCAAGTAAAGATAATCTAAGCCAAAAGAAAAACAAAATTAATGTTATGTGAATATTTACTATATGTGAAGATTACCACATTCCTAGTTAACTTGTCAAAAGGTACAATGAGTAACCATCCTAAATTATCAGTATAGAATAAGTTCTATCCACTGACAAGTGTTCCTTTCTAAATTAGTGTATTAGTGAGAGTTACATATCTCAGTGCTGGGTCCATGTAACTCTGTGTGTTATTTTCAGAATGAATGGGTGTGCCATCCTATGATCAACAGCTCACTTTCTATTGCATCACAAAATGAGATATTCCATCAGTGCTTCCTACAACTGAGAGAGAACACAAGTGCCATGCTGCCAGCCCCTGCCTTGGTTATTAGCCTAGCAGGCTCCATTTTCATTCCAGTCATTCCTCCATAAAAACACCTCTCCACCAGTCAGCAACACGTTTGCAAATAGACCTACAGCTCACAGGCCAGGGGCCAGTTGTCAAATGGGGCAAATTTGACTTGGGGGTTTGGGGGGTGGTTTCCAGTTTGCTGAATGTGACATTACCAGCTTCTAAGAGCAGCACTGTTCTCTTCTAGTATTACACAACTTTTATTTAAGCAGGTAAAATTAGCAAACTGTTATGTAATCATTGTTTACTTACTTGTTTCAATTTTGCCACAATGAAGGTAAATAAATATTTAGCAATAATGCAGTACTCAAACTTAGAAACTCTCATTTTTGTGTGTTTTATTATTCATTGACAATATGAACCTACTATGTGCAAATCCAAACATGCAGTTGTGAACCAAACACAATGTGAGCCCTGCCCTCTTGGAGCACACGTGAAGACCACAATGATAGGGGTGAGGTTTTACTAATTACTGGAGGGAAATTGTTATGAACATTACTGTATTGCTTATTGCCCTGCCCTCTTCTGAAAAGGTATATTTCATTATAATGACAGAAAATCCTTTGGAGCAAATGTCACAAGGGAAAGTCATATTGGTTTTTAAGTGTGCATGACTTGGGAGAGTGAATGAAGCAATGAACTGGAACAAGAATAAGGGAAGGATGATATTTAAACCCATTTGCACGCCTCTCAGAAGTCACTACATCTCAATATGCAGATGCGACTAAGGGCATTTTCTTTTCTCATTTGACCAGTGGTGTTTTGGGGGATAGAAGTATATTTAAATGAAACTGAAGCTCAGAGTAGTTAAGTGAGTTGCCCAGAGTTCCCAACCTGGTAACTCAGAAAACTAGAATTCAAATCCAAGTTTTTTCATAGATTAACAGTATTTTTTTCTTTTTCATGTTTTTTCCTAATTGCAGGGTCTTCTTTCCACTTGGTTACTGTATGATGACTGGAAGAAAATTCTCAACTATACATTTTAACTACTAAAAATGTTATTCATGTTATTGGTATAAATATTTTTAAATACAAATTTAAAAAAATTTCATGTTACATGAAACAAAAAACAAGAAAGGGAAAACTCCTTTTGGTGTATATCTTTCCAATCTCCTCTTTCTTCAATATACATTGCATGTGCAGATATATAGTTTACTCTTTTTTTGTTTGAAAGTATTTTAAATTATTGTACAATGAACATGAGTCAATTTTTATTGGGAAAATATTCTGAACAATAATTCTAGCTTTTTTTGGGAATATCTTCAAAACTATTGAAGGAATTATATAACATAACTAAGCACTAAGTACATTACACACAGTTTGGTCAGTATCTGTGATTGTGTGTGATGTATTTTATTGAATCAATAATATATTCTAAATGTCTTTCCATATCACTAGATATTGTGTGTTGTTTCATTGAATAATTATATAATTATAATGGTATAAGTGTGTAAGTTGAATAATATTCAGTTGCACAAGTGAATTCATCAACTAATTCCTCATTTTAGACATTTAGGATGCTTCTAAATTTTTTAATCCCATAAATGACACCAAAGGGTCTATATAACCGATTTATATAGCTAAATCTTTGCACACATTCAAAATTATTTCCTGAGGCTAAATTCCCAAAGGTAGAATTTCAGAATGAAAGTTTATGTAAAACTCTCCAAAGTTAAAAACTCATATGCTCAAACCACCTTTGGAAAAAAAAAATGTATCATTGTACATCTCACTGGTGGGATAGGCATACGCAGTCTTCATTTTCCCTCACCAAGTTTTCATATGACTCTTTCCTCCTGACAATGTTAGGCAAAAAAAAATAGCTAGTTATTTTAATCAGTATTCATCAATTAACAAAGAAGTTGAAATTTTATTGTCCTTATGGGTCATTTGTATTTGTCTATTGGTAATTCTCTTTTGTCTATAGAATACTCTTTTCTTAAAACTTTGCAAAATGATTTTCAATATAAAATTCTGGTGTTAAACAAATTCAGCAATTCAACTCAGTATGAAAAATAATAGCTTGAAGACAGGGTTGTAAGAAGGGCATAGAGAGTGGAACATGACTACTTCAGAAATAAGCATACTGCCAGGAGTGACATTTGCTTCTTCATTGGGTCTAATGCTGACAGCAGACAAATTCCAACACCCATGTGACCATTCTGATGGAGACTGTTTGCCTGGACACAATCAAGCCCAAAGAGGTGATCTAGGTAGAGGACATTGACTGTTTCAATTGACTGGCAAAACCACTTTACTCGGGAAAGGTTAAATTTACAGTTACATACCAAACAAGAGTCTGAATCCCAAGATGATAACACATCTAAGATTTCGTCAGATATCCAGAACTATGAAACTGAAGTTTGCAACATTTCAGAGTAAAGAAAAGCATTAAAGTAAATCTCAACTTAGACTTAGCAGAACTGAGTCCAGATACTTGCAAGAAAAACACATGTAGTTTCATCATAGGATGTGTAATAAGGTTTTTGGATAAAATGTGCACTTCATAATACATTAAATTGTATTTATTGCACAAATTGGCTAATGTGGTTAGAACTGTGTTATTTTTTAGCTCACACTTTAACAAATAGGAGTGTCATTTACTTCTTGAAATTAAAACACACCCACAGTAACTCCCCACACTGTCTTTGATGAAGAATCTGGCCTTCTAGTTCATTTAACATGAAATAACAGATTTGTGTTGATGGTGCTTTTGTTCTTGGTAGTGAGAGAACTTGTTACAGAAAAATTAGCTACTCACCCTCAAGCAATCACTAACATTCCAGTTCCTGAATAGAAAAGGGGAGAAGAGAGCAGATGGAAGCAAACAAAAATTGTATTAATAATACATAACAAAGTGCTGCTACAAATGATATTTCAATAGAGGCAAACAATAGGAAAACTGCAGTTTTCATTGGATCTTAATGTATTTATCCGTCTCTAATGCTTCCATCTTCAAGCAGTTCTCTTTTATTGACACGACAACACAAATTGCAGAAGTAAATTGAATCACAGACTCAGAATGTAAAAATCAATGAGAAATAATTTTGTAGCACTAAAGTGAATAGTGTAATGCTAGGTATTCATTTAATTAACCATGAGCCTTTCCACATAATGCACAATCATTGCCAGCTTTTCAGCTCATAGTTGTTCCAGGAATAATGGGTTTGGGATTCATCTTTAGAAAACCTGCATTAATATTTGAAAGCGTTTAAATCCATTAGTGGGTCATCTGAACACTGCAGGTCACTTTTACATTGCTAATTGAAACAATAGTAATGGGTTATAATCTACTGTCTAATAATGCCTGGAGTGTTTTACCGCTTTTATATCTGCAGATTCCAGGAAATATGTAAATTTGTTGCTGAACTGTTATAAAAATATGGAAATTTAAGCTGCAGACATCAAAGTATTTTTTTCTAAAAAAAAACATAGCGTTAATAAACTGAAGAGTTACACTACATTCTGGTGTCAGGATAAATTCCTTACTCTAGACCTTCCCCTGTTCTCTCTTCTCCGCTCTGGGCGCAGCATCTGGCACTCACATTTTCCACGTTGCCATTAGGAGAAAGTGAATATCATTAAACCAGTGAGTAAACAATCATGTCATTGTTTCCATATGCAAGCTATACATTGACTCAGCCTGCTGGGTCCTGGCTGCTTTTTTATTTGCCCTACATGAATTTATGCAAGCATTTTACTTTTCATGGGAATTCTCAACATTTCTTGGATGGGGGCAGGACATGTGGCAGCAACTCCAGCATATGAAATGAGAATATGAGTTAAGTATGAAAACATACATGTGTGTAAGTACATACATACATATAAAAGGAAATATGTGAGAGTAGCTTTCTGAATCCTCCTTGTAAATTGAATGTCATACAAATTGATACTTAACCAGCATTTTCTCTTTTAATTAAACATGTATCGTATGCACTTACCTGTATCTCCCAATGCTTAATTACAGTCTGATTGTGCAGAAAATCCAGGAAGATGCATCTCATTATAATAAAGAAAATGCTTTGGCATTGGCAGAGACTGTGTATGCATGCATACTCAGTTTATATAAATGAAATATTTTTTAGATGCACTTTATACCAAAACTCAAGGGAAAATAAGAACTTAAACCCATCCATTCACTCCCTACCATTATCCACATGACCGTCTTAGTATATTCGGGAGAGAGGAGATGACTAAAAGAAGCATCAAGAGGGTCCTGTATTTGATGCTCTATCAAGAGAATCAACATTTTCATTTTCATTTCTGACTCTCATCATCTTTGCAAATATGTTTACATCCAAGGAAGCTACTCTAAGTCAGTATCAAAAGTCTGATTTCATCCAGAGAGCACTGGTGAGAGCACTGGTGAGAGAACTGAGGTAATAGGAATTGCCTGCACAAACAGAGCTCAGTAGTAATTTTTGTGGATGTAGAGTTCAAATGAAACAACTGAATGACTTTAATGAGCTTTGTGGATAAGAAAGGGACCAAACCTTCCTTGGTTCCTGAAATGGACAGAGCAGTTTGAGATGTGCATCAAGAAACTGCAGAAAGGAAACGACCTTGTAAAGCCCTCTCTTAAATATTCCCGCCATGTTTCCTGTCTTTTGCCATGCACTATTAAACTCCCTTTGAAGTCAGTATGTATCACTCTCCTTGAATCAGCAGTACAGGACATGGAGAAAGATGAAACAATGACCCCAGAAAGCAAGTTGTTTCCTTATCAAAGAAGGACAAGTACCATTAGACCATAGTGCAATAAATAGCCTCCTCAATGATGTTTTTCACATTCTAGCAGCTAAGGGAATTGAGAAAGGCTCAGAACTTGATGCTTCACAATGAGAACCCTGTTGTGATTAAATGGGATCATAAATTGGGCTTTGTGTACTCAGTTATAGTTCTTAGGAGTTTTATTGTGCCTACAATAGGCACAGGTACTTAAGGGTTAAGAGAAAATCCAATGGTAATATCACCTGTCCTGTCAACTGAGAAATCCTATGTGAAGGTCAGAGTCCCTTTCCAACCCCTGGGAGTTTCTACAGCTTTACCCTTCTTGTCTAGCTGTGTCATGAAAATACTGATGATGTGGAAGCCTGAGAAACCAAATTCATGCCTTTTTTGTTTAGAAAAATCTTGATAAATTTTTAGCTGTGAGTACAGGAACTTACATAACTGAAATTATATACATGGATCCCATCAATTTTCATTTACCGTCCCCTCTCTGATTGTAATAACAGTTCTAATTTTTTTGGACTTTGGAATTCTATTGGTTTACAGATTTGGAATTCTATTGGTTTACAGAGTTTACAGTACAGGTTTACAGAGCCCATACTGTTCATGCATGAAAATTTTCCCCAATGTGTCACCAAGAGCCTGCTACTTGCTTTTCCTTTAGGAGATTAGTCATCTTTCATTCCATTTTAACTAAACTATCTGTGTCCATGTTGAGATGTAAAGGAAACACTTTAATGTAAGAGCATTTCCAGTTCTAGGTTGCCAATCACTTCCTTTTAGTGCATTGAAAGAACATTCATTTGGGAAACCCGATTCCTTCCCATAACTTAAGACATCCATTAATTGTGCTCCATTCATTGATTCATTGGCTATTCGCAAAGGAAACTCCTGACCTTGCTGTCATGAGTCAAGAAACAAATCTCTCCATTTTAGTGTATGCTCTTTGCCTTTCAATGACTTAGCTAAACCCCTTCTTCCTGAGTTAATCTGTTAGGCAATATGTTTTTCTGTCCAGAAGTGGTATGACCTTGATTCTAGGGGAGATGACAAGGCCAGCACTTTGACTGAAATATGACATCTCTTCCAGCCGTTTTATTGGCGTTAACTACTTCATTTATCCATTTATAATCAGTTTGTTTAATCTGATAGTTCATTTCTTTGCTCATTTATTCATTCATTCAGTAAACAATATTTATTATTTTGTACTTAATAAAAAGGATTTTGGAACAGACTGCATTCTGGTGCATATTTATTCTTTATTAAAATCATTCAAATCTT